TTTGTCTTTCAGCGTTTTTTTAGTTTGGCTGTCCAGGTTTATCCTACTTAAAGTTCATTTGTCAAATTTGGGGAATTTCCTTCTTAGTTGTCACCATCTTTTTTTTTTTTTTTTTTTACCAGAAACTGAACTCAGGACCATGCGCTTGCCAGGCGGGCACTGGGCCACTGAACTACCCTGGCTTTTTTTTTTTTTAAAGTCTTGTTTGCTTGCTGTTTTACTGACATTTCTGTGTTTTCCTGTATAGGTAGGAATTTGCATTCTCCTACCTGACAGTTCTTTCCTTCACAGCTTAGCTGAAGTCTTATTTCCTTCATGAACCATTGTCAGACTAATTGCTGTTGATAGACATACCATGATTGTCTGCACAGTTTACTTGGTAATTAATCTTCCTTCCTTCACTGATACCAAGGAAACTTTTCCTTTCCCCCTCTGAAGAGTCAGGTTCCTATCCTTTGTGTTCCAGCAGCACCCACGACACTGCATTGTAATTATCTCTTTATGTTCTTTTCTCCAACACTTCAACAGAGACATAAGGTGATCTGTGATAGTCTTTATAAATTTTCGATTATTTTTCTTCAAATCCTATGCATTGAAATCATACATTGAGTTTCCAAAGGCAGAGAATAGTTAGATAATTTTGAATATTTAGATAAAATTTTGAGGTTATTAGTGATTATATTATATACTCTACAGCTGTATGAAAATGCTTTCTAACCTTTATTGTAACCACAAGTCCTTTTTACAAATTTGAAAATTACTGCATTATTTAAAATTCTAAGTAAAATTAATATTTGAGTTTAAAGCCTTCTTTTTCCAGTTACATGACATCTTGTACATTTCACCTTCCAAGCGAAAGATGGTAGAGATACTAGCATTTATATATGAAAGCTAAGATGAGGACTCTGAAAAGGTTAAGTGACATAGTCAGAGTCAGAAAAACTTCCATAGCAGGGTTAGCTTAGAATCCAAGTCTGTACTTTTTGGCTCATTTTCTTGCTCTGTGAAAGACCCAATGCCAACTGCAGACTACATAATGAGAATAAATAACATGCAGTTCTCTGTGTGCTGGTAAGAGATGGGTAGTAAAGCTGTTTCGTAAGAACATTCTTAGGGTTAAATGTGTACCAAAAAGATTTTTATACATAAGCCTCAAGATTGCAAATTTTAGCTTTGTGAGTTTTCAGAGCTTTCTACTTTCCAGTAGTTTCTAGTTTTTACTGTTTAGAAAACAGTTGATGCTTATGTTCAGAAAAAAGACATAAAACTGTGTATCTGTGAAGGACTTTGAAGGTGATTTAATCCTCTCTCCATAATAATACTGGAATTGTATCAAAATTGAGATAGATGGCTCACTCCCTTCTCCCCATAAATAGAGCCCAGGAAAATCGAAGTGAATTACATGGACTCAGGGTTCCTCAGCTTGACTGTCTTGTAAATAGCTTTTGACTACTTAATATTAGGTTTATGTTATCAACCTTGGGTTTCTGAAAACTTAGGCCTTGCCTTTTAGTAGTTCAGATACTGGGTTACATGGAATCTGACCTGTCAACCTTTGAAATATCTGGGTCTCACTCATGCTAAACAAGAGCCCTACCATTGAGCTACATCCCCAATCCTTTTTATTTTAGTTTAAGACAAGGTCTTATAAATTGCCCTGGCTGGCCTTAAATGTAAGTAGCTGGGGCTACTGGCATTCACTGCCATACCCAACTTAATTTTTTGTTTCTTTTTTCTTTTCTTTTTTTTTTTTTTTTGAGTGGAGAATTTCACCATTTTGCCTAGGATAGTCTTTTTTTTTTTTTTTCTTCCCAATCTTTTGAGACAGAATCTTCCTATGCACTTCAGGCTACCCTTGAGCTCACTTTGTTACCCAGGCTGGTCTGGAACTTGGAAGGATCCACCTACCTCAGCCTCATGAGTGTTAGAATTACAGGCGTGCGTCACCATGCCCGGCTTCCTAGGATGGCCTTAATTTGAGTTTGAAACACTCTTCCTGCCTCAGCCAACCTACAGGTGTGTGCCACACTGCATAGCACCTGGCTTTCTTTATAGCTTTGGTACTTTTGGATTCCTTGGGAGTGAATGGGGCCATAGAGATAGTTTAAAACAGAGGGCAATTAAGACAATTTCTTTTCCCTTTTCTGGAAATTACTAAGGTGAAAGCAGTAGCTTTTCATATCATAACGTTCAGGTGAGTGATGGGTCAGGTAAGATGCTCATATCCCTTTTTTTGAAATATACTTTACATCTTTCTTTTTTTTTGGTGCTGGGAATCTAACTCAGGACCTCGGACTTGCCAGGGAGGTGCTGTGCCTCTGAGCTATATCCCCAGCCCTCTTACATCTTTCATACTTACATATATTCGTGGGCTCCTTGGGAATCTACATACAAATACTATTTTTTATTTGGCACAGATCCTTGAAAAGATAATTAAGTTTTAAATTATTGATGTTAAAATGCTTTATATTGGTTATGTATACATCTCTTTTGGAAAACACATTGTTTAAAAGAGGGGAGAATATAAGAAAGATAGGGAGGTGTCTTTCATGTACCTAAATTTGTATTTAGATATTTTTCCTTGCCTGAAATGAGAGGATAATTACAGAAGTTAAGAGCCATTACAAGACATAAGAATAACAATTTGGCATCAGTGAAATTATAATCAGTAAGTCAATGAGATAGTTATTTCATTTTCAGTATGAAATAGGGCAGATGTCTTTTGTAGACAGTGACATAACTAAACATTTAATATTTTTGTTTTCTTTTTAGCAATGCATATTATAGTGCTTTATTTTAATTATAGAAGGAATTATGAGACCAGAATTGTACTAGATAAGCATGCATTGAAAGCTAAATTTCATTGATCTTTGTATTAAGAAGAATTAATACTGAATGCCTAAAGATTCCCATATTTTATTTAATTAGGAATGGTCTTCAGGCTACGTTTGGAGATTTCACTGTTGCTAACTAGCCCTTCCCCTAAAATTATGAAAAGAAATTTGAAGGCTTCCTCCATTTTACTCAGACATGGACTGTGTTTGCTGGTTAGAGCCAAGAGTCCTTTCTCCCAAAGCAAGCTGCCTTCCTGTGCTCTGCCATTCTTCTGCCGTGGCTACTTTAATTCAGCTCACTGCCTTCAGGCAGCCTCATGTGTTCTGGGCCTTCTGAGCACACACTCGGGACAGGAGCTACCAGCAGAGCAGGAATAACTGAGACACGCACACCCACAGTGGTGTGCAGCACTGATCTGCAACACTGGCATGTTTCCTGTCCTTATTATCTCCTGTCTGAAATGGAGCCGAAGTGACATTGACCTTGTGTGGAAAGCCTCCGAGGATTTGGGTTAGAGGGAGGGGGTTAGATTTTCGTGTGACTTACTTCTGACATACTGCAGCAGGACTGAGAACATTCATCTGCTCACATAGAGGAAAGAAAAAATTTCTAAGATTGAGCTTGCAGAATTTGTATGGTATTTGAACATTTTTTCCCTTCTGTTTTTCTATTTTTCAATTTTACCTAATTTGATAAGGGTTGGAGGTGGGGGATGGACTTTGCATAATAAGTAATTGAGGGATGGAAGGAGCGGGCTGCAACAATGATTCGCATGGTAAGGGACTGTTTAAAATCTCCAAGACATCGGGACCCACATTGCAACCCATCTGACAAACGGTTAGTGAGCTCCTTGGCCATCTCAAGTCTTTAAAAGTAACAATATACATATAGTCTTATTTATGTGCTTTTTTTTCCTTCTATATGAATCTTAAGATCATTGTGCCTAAATAGCCAAAACAACTGATTTTTGTTTACATTTAAAATATCACCTGAAGAAGTGAAAAATATAAAGCATGTAGTTTAGCCCCTAAGTCTCTCCTTTTCATATATTTGTCTCACTTTCCTTTGTGCTAGAGCTAAGTGGAGCCCAAGCTTAACATTTGGATTATATCTGGTATAGAAACTGAAATATAGTAATGAAGCTTTAAGGAGAAACTGCGTACCAATTGGAGGACTTGTTAAATGCTGCCCTTCTCTCTCCATGTTACCGTTTAAAGTCCCCTCCCCCATCTAGAATTTTATGGGCTTTTTCTCTCCTTTTGTAGAAAGGAAAGGGGTGGGAGCTATGTGTGTGTCTGTGACAGAGACAGAGACAGACATGGGTGGGGGCAGATTTTGGTAAACATGGGCATTTAAATTTCTTACAGCAAAAGAAATACCTTTATTTTGAATTCTGAATCTAAGGTTGCTTGAGATTCATTCATAGGAATCCAGCTCTGATCAAAGCATGTAAAAAATTAGATAATGATATTTCAGAGTAAAAGTAGAGCCCCATGTGTTTGAGAAATGAATGCTACTGTAAATCCGTTTTATAAATATAGTGCACATTGTTTTACATATTTAATTAGTTGTGTTAGTACGTGACCCCAAAATAGCTTTTCTGAGTACATGTGGTATTTGATAGAACAAATTGCCTGACTAGCAATCTTTTCCATTTTCTCTATGTTGTTGCATTCTAAAATTGATGTGCACTGGTGACTTAAGGGGAAGTTAACACTTCAGTAAATGGCCTTTTCCTTAATATTGTTCACTGTTTCTATTAGCCATTTTCATTTAATTTCACAGTGATATTTAAGGGTTAAGCTTACAGAGCTGATGCAACCCCTCCTTTTCTTCACCAACAGTTTTCATTGGATAGTATTTCCATAGCAACAGTGAGATCAGCGAAACCTGAGTGTTTCATTGATTATTTTTCTCTTCTTCCTTTTTTAATCTATTCTCTTTTCACCACATATTAGTGAGGAAGCTTTTTTTTTTTTTTACAAAGTCTGTATTGATTTCTATTCCATAAATAATTAAAAGAGGGTAGAAATATCTGCCCTTGATTTAATTATTGAATGTTTTACTATGTATTTAAAAAGCGATTCAGGATTAGGAGGATGGATAACGATACCAGCTGTAGCTGATGTTCTCAAATATTCTTGCATTGTTTGCTGGTCTTCTAGGGAAAAGAATAATGTGGAAAAGGACCTTAAGGAGAAAGAAGATACTGTTAAACAGAGGACAAGTGAGGTTCAGGTAAGTGAGCTATAAAATGTACTATTCCATTTCTCATTTAGGAGTATTTGTTTTAAATGTATAGAATCATTTATTTTTTGATGGATATGGTATTAGGTCTAGGAAATATCTCATATTTGTATGATATAAATGTCTTATCTTTTGTAACATGATCGTTTTTGCTTTGAATTTTGGCCTAAGAGGTTACACTACAATGAGAAAGCAGTATTTTTCAGCCTAGATTTCTAGGTTTGAAAGTAATTTTTAAAAGATTTTTTTTTTGCTTATTATATTATTGAAGTTAACTTTGAATGACTTTTGATGTGAATATTATTATACCACTAAAATTAAATGAGATCAATATGTCATCATCATCATCATCATCATGAAAAACCAAATTGCTTTTTCATGCATGTGAGATTTTTTTGGCTGTGAGACCTAATATTTTCAAAGACTGTTTCTTTCTTTTTTTTTCTTTAAGAGTAGAAGAATTTATTGAGAGAAAGAAAGCTTCTGTCTGAGAGGAACAGAAGGAGGCCCAGAAAATGGGTTGCCCTAAGACTGTTTCTTATAATACTGATAAGGTGGGAGATGATATGGAATAATTTAAAATAACACTTTATGAGTTACTTAGAAGCCAGGATAACTTAACTTTTACTTAAAGAGATTTTAATTCATTTTCACCTATGTGTTGTGTTAAATAGTTTCATTTTACAAATGGAAAAGATCATAAAACTTTTCTTTTTGGGAAACAATACAACATAGGATATTTCAGACATTAAAAACATTGAAAATTGGGTAATGTTTTATTTTAAGCAGTAAGCAATGCATGTGGCCATGTTATTGGGTACCATTTCCTGAATGCTGCACTAGCACACAATAGGAGATTGGATATAGAAGCACTGGTGGGACCTATCAGTTAGAGTGCATGGATGGGCATTTTTGCTTGTGTTACTTGTATGTTGGCTATCTCTGCTTGTACTAATAGTTTTAGTGGAAGGTCTAGTGTGTTTGACCCACTGTTTTATTTTGGTGTGGTATGTTTATGAGAAACTGTCAGGTGGATTATGCTTGGGAGGGGAAATGGTTTACTGAAGGGCTGGAGAAGCCAGAGAGGCTTCTTGTTCACAGCTGCTCTCTGATGAGGGCGGTGCATTTATTATATTTACTGAAATTTTCCTAAAAGCGGTGCAGAGGTCAAGAGATCATCACCAATATATATATTTCTCTTTCTGGTAGTGAGATTAAGTGTGGGAGGGCAAGTTACCTAATTACATTGTTTTTGTGTAGTTTTTAAGCTTCTTAAGAAATACAAAAGAATCACTGACTTTAAGCAGTTATTGCTGAAAATAATTTGAGAATGGAAGATAAAATCTACAAAATTTTCTCCTGAAGAAGAAATAGATATGTAGTCACTGATACAGTCTTAGACAGCTGCTAAATTTAGCCAGTTACTATTTTAAAGTACATAAATTTGGCAGATGTGGTGATGCACGCCTGCCTGTAATTCCAGCACTTGGGAGGCTGAAACAGGATTATTGCTGAGAGTTTGAGAACAGCCTGGGCTACCTAGTGAGTTCAAGGGCAGCCTGAACTACACAGTGAGACCCTGTCTCCAAAACTACCTGCCTGTCTACTTACCTGCCTGCCTACCTACCTAGGTTCTTGTGATCGACAGTAATTTTATTTGAGTACATCTACCTGTTGATTTTCCACCACTGCATCTTTTGAAGATGGGGATTTAAACAGCCACTAAAGACCACTAAAATTTCCATTGTTCTTTTCAGGCTAAATGTGTTGTCTTTGAATATTTGGTTTCTTACAATTATAAAAGTTTTGTTGCCAGTCAGAATTTCTCTGTGATACACCTCTTGTTCTTTGTGGTGATAGTAAGGTATGTGTTTAACCTTAACCTTTGTGAAATCTGAAATACATGGTTGGCATAGGAAGTCCAAATTAATAAATTTTTATGTAGAGGGTGCTGTATTGGGTTATGTTTAGTAAAGCTCAAGAAGTAATTGTTGCCGTGCGGTGGCACATTCCTGTAATCCCAGCACTCGGGAGGCTGAGGCAGGAGGATCGTTGTGGTTTGAGGCCAGCCTGGGCTACAAAGTGAGCTCAAGGCCAGCCTGAACCGCATAGGGAGACCCTATCTCAAAAAGACAAAAAAAAAAGGAATTTTTGATACTAAGTTCATTGAAATGTAGCAGGTTAATTAAAGCTTTGGTTAGTAGATTGCATTATTCATTTTATTCCAATATAAATATCTTTGAATTATCTATCGTAGTAAGGTGCTACACTAAGTGATGATACTTGACATGTACAAGGAATTAAAACCCCTCATTTTCAATCCTCTGAATCATAAAACATCTTACTAAAAATGATAATGATTTATTACTTACTGAGTTAACTTCATTATTACTGAATTAACTGATTTACCCATTGGTGATGAAGCACAGGCAAAGTATAAAATGGATAATTAAAATACATAAATTTTTTTGTCTTTTTGAGAACAGGGTCTTGCTATGTAGTTCAGGCTGGCCTTGAGCTCTCACCTTGTAGCACCAGCTGGTCTTGGAACTATCCTCCTGCCTCAGCCTCGAGTGCTGGGATTACAGGCATGCATTACCACACCCGGCTAAAATACATAATTTGAACTCAGTACTTACTTTGTGATTTCTCTGGTAAAGGGCATTTTACTAGAGCTATTAAATGGCAGAATTTAGGAAAGTATCCTTTGCTGCCTGTTCTGGCCCCAATTTCTAATGGAAATGCTGATGAGTGGGGGAGGGGTAAAAGGATTTGGGCCTAGGAATGAGTATCTGCTTAATCCAGACTTGCCTTTTCTCAGTGTATGCTTTTCTCCATATTGATTCACAAATAATGATTATATGAACTCAAACATAGAAACCAAACTTAAAATCATAGGACTTGAGGTTTTTTGTTGGTTTATTCTTTTTTGTTGTTATTGGTGATAATTTATTCTTTTGTTTGGTGTTGGGCTTTAACTACCAGGACCTTGTGCATGCTAACCATGAACTCTCCCACTGGGCTACCCTGGTAGCCAAGCTTTTTGCTCTGTATTTCTATACTTTACCTTATTTTATTTAAAGTAGAATAGCTACTACATAATTTCTAAATTTTCATTTCCCATCTCTATCCTCATGACCTCTCAGCTTAAAAATTTTCAGTTCAAAAATTTTTTGTTGCTTTCTTTCTTTTTGTTTTTGTTTTTTGTTTTCTGTTTTTAGTTTTGGGTTTTGGATTTTTTGAGACAGGTTCTTGGTATGTAATTAAAGCTGACCTTGAACACACTATGTAGCCCAGGCTGGCCTTGAACTCATGGCCATCCTCCAACCTCAGCCTCCCAAGTACTGGGATTACAGGCGTGCGCCACCAGGCCTGGCTCAAGATTTTTTTCCTAAAGAAATCTTTAAATTTTTTTTCATAAAGTGATGACTGCTGGCAAATGAGGTATACTACTAGTTTTATCAAATTCTATTCTTAAAAAATTGGCTCAGTGCAATCCAATTCCAAATAGAAAATCTTGTGAAAGGCCCTTTTATCACAGATGCTTATGGTTTGAGCCTTTTTACTGTAAGGGGAGAAGGTAGTCCCACATTCTTTTCTGTCTTACACTGCCTGTGTACAATCTTTATTAATATTTTTCTTCTGACTAGTCAGCAATTATTTAGGGACTTCCCTTTATATGAGGCATTCTTCAGTTTTGCATAGAGGTTCATGGCAACAACTCAGTTCTTGGCTCTGCCAGTTCCTAGATTTGTGATCCTAAGTAAGTAGTTTAACTACTCTGAGCTTTAGTTTTCTCTTCTATGGCATGGAATAAAAATACCACACACTTCAGAGGTGATGGAATGAGATAATCGAGCCGGTGCAGTGGTGTGCATTTGTAACCCCAGCCACTCAGGAGGCTTACGCAGGAGCAGAAGTTTAAAGCCAGTACCTGGATAACTTAGCAAGACCGTGTCTCAAAAATAAAAATAAAGAAAAGGGCTGGGAAAGTAGAACACTTGCCTAGCATGCCTGAGGCCCTGGATTCAACCTCCCCCATAATGGAGAGAGGGAGGGAGCTGAGGAGAGAGGGAAGGCAGGAACCTTTTTGGGCTGTGACTGTCACTTTAGTCGTACCCTATATTCTCAACTTGTATTGCTTTGTGTGATGAGTTTTTCCCTTTTTTTTTTTTTTTTACCAAGCCTATACAGTCTGCTATTTAAGCATTTCACTGTGCTTTAATTTTTTTTTCCTACCAGGTGTGGCACACACCTTTAACCCCAGCACTTGGGAGGCTGAGGCAGGAGGGTCATTGAGAGTTTAAGACCAGCCTAGGCTACAAAGTGAGCTCAAGGCCAGCCTGAACTGTAGAGAGAGACCCTGTCTCAAAAAGAAAAAAAAAAATAATGATAATTTTTCTAACTGTGGCCAGCGTTCTTTAAGGGCAAATATGTTGGTCTCCCTGTATGTTACTGCTTTCTTGTATAATTCTCTTTTAATTCCCCTGCTACCTGTCTGAGCACTCTGTGTGTGTGTGTGTGTGTGTGTGTGTGTGTGTGTGTGTGTGTGTTCTCATTTGGTTTGTTTTTGTTTTTATTTTGTGTTTGGAGACAGGGTCCCATGTGTAGTGCAGGCTGGCCTTCAACTCATGGTGATCCTCCTGCCTCAGCCTCTAGAATAATGAGGTTATAGGTGTGCACCACCACACTTGGCAACACAAATCAATGAAGACTTAGTTCTTTTCTTTTTTTTTTTAGTGTTTTTGAGACAGGGTCTTGCTGTATAGCGCGGGCTGGCCTTGAGCTCACAGAGATCTCCTGAATTAGCCTCTCAAGTGCCTGGCTGTGTGCACTATGTGTGTGTCTCTTGTTCCTTCCTATTCCATACTCCCTCTGACATTGTTCCTATGCTGAAGACTCCCAGATATTTATTAAACTTCAATTCTTGTGAGTGCCTCTCCCATATCTAATTTGGTGTTTATCATTTTAAAGTATGTTTAAAATGATTA